GCCTAGTGCAGGTGGTTGTATTTCCGAGCAGAATGCCGAAAATTAGTCTTTGAACTATACTGTATATAACCATTGGCAATGTACTCTGCACATTTTTCCAAGCCATTTTCCGCGCAAATTTGAGCTAGTTTTCAAGGTATCATCCACATTCCACGACGAATAAACTGGCATTTTTTAGTAATGCTGTAGTAGTAGTAGTAGTAAATCCTATAGATAGTTCCATGGATCTAATAATTAACATGTAAATTAATGTACTTTATTTAAAATAGTGTTGTTTGTTTGCCTCTAATGTTTAAAATATTATTATTATTATAGTTTGTATGCCTAGGCCTAAACTAGGGGGGCCTAGGCCGCGCCAGGCAGTAGAGTATAATCTCTTTTGTCGAATTTGCAGCGCCCTCAATAGTATGTAAATGCTGTCTCTTATACACATCTAGATGTGTATAAAACGCCACTATTAAGATCACCACTTCCAAGACTTCCTTATCCAAACCAGCAAACATATCTTTTTGAAAGATTGATTCTTCAAAAATGCCTTCGACTTATTATATTATTGTTATTGAATATTTTCGCCGTCCTAATTTTTCAATTTTCCGCTCGCGACGACCATTCTCATCAGTTGGCTGTGTCTCGTTACCAGCTCGTTACGGTTGAGTGAATCAGCTGACTCCCTGTCTAGTGCAAATTTCCGAAATAAAAACTGGGGAAAATCGTTATTTTACACATAATTGAGACATTTTCATAAGTGAAAACCCATATAAATGAAAGGAACGGCCAAATTTCCATTGGAATATCTAAAGTTTGACACGATTTTTTATGGGGTTACCGAATGCAAGCCTTTGAAAGTCGGTACATTTTAGGAAATTCCCTATCTTATAACACTGGCTCAAAATCCTGTAGCACCAGTTTTTTTTTTGGGACCCAGTTCACGAGCCTCGTTTTCGAATACCGCGCTCCAAAATCGAGTGCCGTTACCGTCATTGTGGTCGCCCATCCCTCTATTTTAAATTAAAAATCAATCGTTTCATCCCCGCACCCCCCCTTTAAAAGGAAAGTATACTGATAAATCTATTTTTAGTTTAACTCTACATTTTGAAACTAAAAAATAAGGTCTTGCCACGTATGTTGGGATGGGGAACTTTCAAAGAAAATAAGATTTGTCTTATACATGAATGGAATTGTCTTTATGTGGATGGATTTTTCCTTAAGCTTGGGATGAAATTGTCCTAACGGCCAATTTAGTCTGTTTTGGCCCTAATGGCTGCCCATACAGCTGCAGCAATAGGCAAGTATAGTGTTTTTATTCTTTTATCTTATTTCACCAAAATCCAACAGTGACAAAGGTCGCCACAAGGAGGTTTCCAAAAAGTATAGGTCAAGGAATGGTGATGTAAAAAAATAAAGTCCTAAATTTATTTCTAGTCTCATGTCATATCATATATCATATCATATCTTATCTCATATCATATCATATCTCATAGCTGTATTTATACCGTTGTGACACTAAAGTTCTGTCGTATCGTATCGTATGTAATTTCAGACATCACAAGAAGTGGAAGAAATACAAATGAAGAAAACATTACTATTTCAAGTCAGACTGATACTAATCTTGGTAGGAACACCTTTATTTTATATTAAAGTGAAACATTTGCTCTGTGTTACTAGCTAAAATACTGAAGGTGTGAAAGTTATAATCTTTTCTAATAATGGAGGTGGGCTATACAAGGGTCCAAAAAGGATAATGTTCCATTTTCTTTGGGAACCAGCTTATCTTCTGAGAATTTTGAAACACCTTTTATTGAAATTTGCCAAAAATTGAGTTGGTGCTACCCAAATTATTAATTTGGGGGTCTGGGTTCAAAATCGTGATTGTAGGATTATTATAACCAAAGATACTAGAAATACAAGATAGAGTTCTCGCATTGTAAAAATGAGGCGGAAGTCGTGCCCAACGTAGGCGGCGCCCTTCTTTTTAACCATGCAAGTTTCCTATACTTCGTGCCCAATGTACAGGGCGCCCTTCTCTTGCTAAGTATATCCAGATGCAAAGGCGCCCTTCCTTTTCCACTAATGGAGGAAAACTTTTTCACTAAGAGTGCATCCGTCCATGTGATTCTGCGCTGTATTGTTGTTTTATTCTTTACTGATTCATGATTATGTTTTGTGTATTACTTGGATAATAGCAACGATTTCTACCGCCACCAAGGAGGTTATGTATTCACCGATGTCACTGTCTGGGTGTCTATTCCAGTTTGTTTTTATATCTAGTATCTTTGTTGAGAATTGATAATAAAATACGCGACGACTTGGTAACGAAAGTTTGGCACAAGTTTTTTTTAATCCAGCTGTAGGGGCGTCCCATTTTTCGTATTCCCACCATGCATTTCGGTAGAACACGGTGGAACACCTTTTTTGTGTGGAGAACTCTATCTTGTATTTCTAGTATCTTTGTTATAACTGGTTTTAAATGCATACAAATATCATGGGTTTAATGTATTTTATTTTTTTTAATTGGATAGGTAATGGTAATGATATTTATGATAGTAACAATGTTACAATGTAAGAAAGTATAATACATACTCCAAGTATTGAAATACACGATGGCGTGCATTTCAATACTTGGAGTATGTATTATATTTTCTTATCTGAGATTAATCAGTGGACCTTTTGGTTTTCATGTTACAATGTCTAGCAACAATAATTACAATATTTATAATAATGCTAATAATGATGGTGATGGTGGTGAATTATAATACTGTAATGATAATGCTAATAGCAATGAGAATGAAGACAAATGATGTACAACAATTACTAATTATGTTGATTTTATTATGTTAATAATAATAATAATAATAATAATAATAATAATAATGATAATAATGATAATAATAATAATAATAATAATAATAATAATAATAATAATAATAATAATAATAATAATAATAATAATTCTACTCAGTAGAATGGTGGTGTAAAAAAAAGTCCTTAATTTATTCAAAGTCTCATATATACTCTCAGAAATCACCAGAAGTGGAAGAAATACAAATGAAGAGAACATTACTAATTCAAGTCAGACTGATACTAATCTTGGTAGGAACACCTTTATTTTATATTAAAGTGAAACATTTGCTCTGTGTTACTAGCTAAAATACTGAAGGTGTGAAAGCTATAATCTTTTCTAATAATAGAGGTGGAATATACAAGGGTAAAAAAAGAGTAATGTTCCATTTTGTTTGGGAACCAGCTTATCTTCTGAGAATTTTGATACACTTTTTATTCAAAATGGCCAAAAATTTAGTTGGTGCCGCTCAAAAAACTATTTGGGGATCTGGGATCAAAATTGCCCTTAACTTCTATATTCTCTACACTATTCGTCAGATTTCGTTGTTGATTTATAATATGTTTTTATGCCAAGGAATATTAAATAGTAATGATTAATTTTTACTTCAGGTTACTTCTATGTGAAATTTAGTATTTGTAGAATCACATGACCACATTTATAACCTTAAAGTAGCTCAATGCGTAATTTTATATTTTATATCATAAAAGAAATAACTATATTAGGAATCAAGCAATTTGATTTGTAACTGCATATGTAGTATATTCTTCATGAAATACAGTCACAGTGACACAATGAATGGAGATAGTAATAATGTGTACTATAGTTTTCTTGTACAATGTACATTATGAGACTATGATTGAAATATATTTGACACTTTCTTTCCTAGATAATGAAGATGTATCCGGTAGAACATGGTGGAACACCTTTTTTTTGCGGGGAACTCTATTTTGTATTTCTAGTATCTTTGTTATAACTGGTTTTAAATGCATACAAATATCATGGGTTTAATGTATTTTATTTTTTTTAATTGGATAGGTAATGGTAATGATATTTATGATAGTAACATTGTTACGATGTAAGAAAGTATAATACATACTCCAAGTATTGAAATACACGATGGCGTGCATTTCAATACTTGGAGTATGTATTATATTTTCTTATCTGAGATTAATCAGTGGACCTTTTGGTTTTCATGTTACAATGTCTAGCAACAATAATTACAATATTTATAATAATGCTGATAATGATGGTGATGGTGGTGAATTATAATACTGTAATGATAATGCTAATAGCAATGAGAATGAAGACGAATGATGTACAACAATTACTAATTATGTTGATTTTATTATGTTAATAATAATAATAATAATAATAATGATAATAATAATGATAATAATGGTAATAATAATAATAATAATAATAATTCTACTCAGTAGAATGGTGGTGTAAAAAAAAGTCCTTAATTTATTCGATGTTTCATACATACTCATATATATGTTGATAATAATAATAATAATAATAATATAAGTATTTTTTTAATAATAATAATAATAATAATAATAATAATAATAATAATAATAATAATAATAATAATAATTCTACTCAGTAGAATGGTGGTGTAAAAAAAAGTCCTTAATTTATTCAAAGTCTCAGAAATCACCAGAAGTGGAAGAAATACAAATGAAGAGAACATTACTATTTCAAGTCAGACTGATACTAATCTTGGTAGGAACACCTTTATTTTATATTAAAGTGAAACATTTGCTCTGTGTTACTAGCTAAAATACTGAAGGTGTGAAAGCTATAATCTTTTCTAATAATAGAGGTGGAATATACAAGGGTAAAAAAAGAGTAATGTTCCATTTTGTTTGGGAACCAGCTTATCTTCTGAGAATTTTGATACACTTTTTATTCAAAATGGCCAAAAATTTAGTTGGTGCCGCTCAAAAAACTATTTGGGGATCTGGGATCAAAATTGCCCTTAACTTCTATATTCTCTACACTATTCCTCAGATTTTGTTGTCGATTTATAATATGTTTTTATGCCAAGGAATATTAAATAGTAATGATTAATTTTTACTTCAGGTTACTTCTATGTGAAATTTAGTATTTGTAGAATCACATGACCACATTTATAACCTTAAAGTAGCTCAATGCGTAATTTTATATTTTATATCATAAAAGAAATAACTATATTAGGAGTCAAGCAATTTGATTTGTAACTGCATATGTAGTATATTCTTCATGAACTACAGTCACAATGACACAATGAATGGAGATAGTAATAATGTGTACTATAGTTTTCTTGTACAATGTACATTATGAGACTATGATTGAAATATATTTGACACTTTCTTTCCTAGATAATGAAGATGTAACCTTAAAGTAGCTCAATGCGTAATTTTATATTTTATATCATAAAAGAAATAACTATATTAGGAATCAAGCAATTTGATTTGTAACTGCATATGTAGTATATTCTTCATGAACTACAGTCGCAGTGACACATGACACAATGAATGGAGATAGTAATAATGTGTACTATAGTTTTCTTGTACAATGTACATTATGAGACTATGATTGAAATATATTTGACACTTTCTTTCCTAGATAATCAAGATGTATCCACAGAAGCTGTTGGCAGTCAAGAAGGTAAGTGCAGTAGGTGCATTAATTCCATCTTTTTCTTACTTGCCATCCTATCTGTATGTATATCTGCAAGTATTACACTAGTTAGGCATGTTGTAAGAGTACTCAGGATGATACCGAGTGTTATGAGAACAATGAAATATGTTTTTATTAAAAAATGTGTGTACAAACAATTTTAATTATTTGTTATACCCCTATGTTTATTTTAATTCTTTCCTTTTATCAGATTTTTTTTTAAAGTGTAACATTATATTTGAAACAAAAAATTACAGAAATGAAACATTAAAAAAAGATGATTCAGCAGAAATCTTAAATACCGTGCTTTATTTTTGTTCTTGCAGAAGGGTCAAGAAGGGTACGGACAATTTCTTCAGAAAGTCAACCTTACATTGAAGAAGGTAAGCTTTAGACAACATTTCTTGTGACATAATCTGAGAAAAACATATATCGCTTCATCAGAATTTAAACACAAGTCTGATGACATTCAGTTGTTATACCAACTGAGCTGAGGTTAGACTGGTACATTTTTATCCCAGCATATATACAAGCCTGTATCCTACGTGCAAATCCCCCACCCCTTTAAATAATAAAATGTACATATTGACCCAGTCGGGGTTCTAGGCCACACCCTCAATCACCACTTGCTTCCATTTTTACACACCACTAATCCCCCTCCCCATTAGATGAATGATGTACAACAGTTATTAATGATTATGTTGATTTAGTTATGTTGATAATAATAATAATAATAATAATAATAATAATAATAACAATAATAATAACAAAAACAGTGACACAGTTTGTACAACAAAAACAATAATTTAAACAATATCAAATGTAAAAGCAAATACATTAGAGAAATAAAGTTATCCAGGGAATTAATACTTATGGAGATCATGTACAAAGAGTAGTAGTCAAACCACTAACATTACTAAATATTGTCAGAAGCTATCTGTGGAGTCAGTTTGGCGTAGTGTAAATGGTTTGTTTTCCCAACCCTGAGGTTTGGGTATCAATCCTTCGCTGTGCATTTCGTTTGTGTCCTTAACCAAGGTACTTTATCTACGTTGCCTCAGTCTACCCAGTGTGTAAATGGGTATTAGCGAATTACTGGGGAGTAACCTGCGGTGGACCAGCATCCCACCCAGTGGGAGCATCACGCTCTTATCCACTTCACACTACTTGAAACTGGGATAAGCTTCAGGTCTATGAATGCCGTGTCTCGGCAAGGATTCACTTTTTTTTTACATCCAACAAGGGTCCGAACATATACTTAACAAGATCACAATACAAATATTAGCAAAATATTATTTACCGATTTATTTCTGAAAAGATTCAACCACCAACTTTGCTTGGCGAATCAAGTTTGGATGAAATTTTCCTCATCTGCATACTCAACACATCCATGCAATTTATTTACACACAAAGTAATTTTTACAACCTACCTAAATTAATAGTGAAATCTGTTTGTAGTGAAATGAAATAACTGAATAACAAACATCTAAATATATGTCACTTGTGACATTGTTGAACTGATTGTATTTTTTTCTATTTAATAAGATTGATTTATTGCAGATTCACTGCAACATCAGGAACTTTACTAAGAAAGTATAATAAATACTCTAAGTATTGAAATACACACCATTGTTTTGGGATTTAATATTTCAACATTAATTATAACATCATAAGGAATGCTACTGGTATTTTAAAATTATTATTTATTAATTGTTAAAATGTTAATAGAAGGAATTTTATGAATATTTTTTTCAAAGGAAATGTAAATGGAACGTTAATGGCAGTTTCTGGAAGTTCGCATCAGGGAGGTGAAGGAGACACTCGTGGTAACGTGAATTCTCGTAAGTTGGCCTATAGAGAAGTTGTTAGTATGCTCTAGAGAAAGGAGTTATACAGTACAGGAATGTGGAAGCGGTTTGCCACAGCGGGAACAGTTTGGTTTCCTAACCTCGAGGTCGGGGTTTCAATACTGTGCATTTTGCTTGCATCCTTGAGCAAGACACTTTATCTGCATTGCTTCTCATCACCCAGGAGTATAAATGGGAACCTGGTGGGGTTACCTCCTGCGCCGATTACCAGCAGCAACACAGCGTGGACCCAATGAGGCGCATTATAAATGCCCGTACCAGTACCAGTACTAGGAATCAGTATTTTAGCAGGCCTCAAAACATACAGTTGGAAATAGGGAAAACATATATAGTTGGATAGTCTAAATCACCTTAGAGACACCCCACCTCCTTCCTGAATGTGGCTATAAAGTACAGCCTGCAAACTAATAATAATATTGAGGGCCAACTTCATGTTGAAGCCTTTGCCTGAAATGGATGTAGACTTCTTACCAGTTTTGTTATGTCATGCAGCCAACAAGGCACTGTCTGTTCCACAAAAATTGTATTTGGTGATTTCATTCCTTGCAACACTGAGAACGGTAACAATGGGGTGCTTTCAAACAGGACAGTAGGAGGACGACGACAGATTTTTGACTCCCAGTAATCCGTGCAATCCGATATCATCATATCTCATATCATATCATATCTCATAGCTGTATTTATACTGTTGTGACACTAAAGTTCTGTCGTATCGTATCGTATCGTATGTAATTTCAGACATCACAAGAAGTGGAAGAAATTCAAATGAAGAAAACATTACTTTTTCAAGTCAGACTGATACTAATCTTGGTAGGAACACCTTTATTTTATATTAAAGTGAAACATTTGCTCTGTGTTACTAGCTAAAATACTGAAGGTGTGAAAGCTATAATCTTTTCTAATAATAGAGGTGGAATATACAAGGGTAAAAAAAGAGTAATGTTCCATTTTGTTTGGGAACCAGCTTATCTTCTGAGAATTTTGATACACTTTTTATTCAAAATGGCCAAAAATTTAGTTGGTGCCGCTCAAAAAACTATTTGGGGATCTGGGATCAAAATTGCCCTTAACTTCTATATTCTCTACACTATTCCTCAGATTTCGTTGTCGATTTATAATATGTTTTTATGCCAAGCAATATTAAATAGTAATGATTAATTTTTACTTCAGGTTACTTCTATGTGAAATTTAGTATTTGTAGAATCACATGACCACATTTATAACCTTAAAGTAGCTCAATGCGTAATTTTATATTTTATATCATAAAAGAAATAACTATATTAGGAATCAAGCAATTTGATTTGTAACTGCATATGTAGTATATTCTTCATGAACTACAGTCGCAGTGACACATGACACAATGAATGGAAATAGTAATAATGTGTACTATAGTTTTCTTGTACAATGTACATTATGAGACTATGATTGAAATATATTTGACACTTTCTTTCCTAGATAATCCAGATGTATCCACAGAAGCTGTTGTCAGTCAAGAAGGTAAGTGCAGTAGGTGCATTAATTCCATCTTTTTCTTACTTGCCATCCTATCTGTATGTATATCTGCAAGTATTACACTAGTTAGGCATGTTGTAAAGGCCAACTCAGACAGCGTCGGCCGACGCAGCCCGACGCGATTTGTTGTCACGTCGGGTCTGCGTGAGTTGAATGCAGACGCGATGGTGTGCGTCGGGGGCAGTCGCGTAGTAGAATATTAAACGTGTTTAATATTTCTCACGACGGCTTAAGACTGTCCCCGACGATAAATCGGGTTGGGCTGCGTCGGCCGACGCTGTCTGAGTTGGCCTTAAGAGTACTCAAGATGATATCAAGTGTTATGAGAACAATGAAATATGTTTTTATTAAAAAATGTGTGTACAAACAATTTTAATAATTTGTTATACCACTATGTTTATTTTAATTCTTTCCTTTTATCAGATTTTTTTAAAAGTGTAACATTATATTTGAAACAAAAAATTACAGAAATGAAACATTAAAAAAGATGATTCAACAGAAATCTTAAATACAGTGCTTTATTTCTGTTCTTGCAGAAGGGTCAAGAAGGGTACGGACAATTTCTTCAGAAAGTCTTGAACCTTGCATTGAAGAAGGTAAGCTTTAGACAACATTTCTTGTGACATAATCTGAGAAAAACATATATCGCTTCATCAGAATTCAAGCATAAGTCTGGCTGATGACATTCAGTTGTTATACCAACTGAGGTTAGACTGGTACATTTTCTATCCCAGCATATATACAAGCCCGTAATCCTACGTGCAAATCGTCCACCCCTTTAAATAATAAAATGTACATATTTTTAAAACAGTGAGTATAAAATCTTTTATTTTTCGTAATAAAACTTAAAGGGGAATCTTAAATCTTTAATATTTTTACTATGTGACCCAGTCTGGGTTCTAGGCGACACCCTCAATCACCACTTGCTTCCATTTTTACCCACCACTAATCCCCCTCCCCATTAGATGAATGATGTACAACAGTTATTAATGATTATGTTGATTTAGTTATGTTGATAATAATGATAATAATAATAATAATAATAATAATAATAATAATAATAATAATAATAATAATAATAATAATAACAATAATAATAATAAAAACAGTGACACAGTTTGTACAACAAAAACAATAATTTAAACAATATCAAATGTAAAAGCAAATACTTTTACAACCTACCTAGATTAATAGTAAATTCTGTTTGTAGTGAAATGAAATAACCAAATAACAAACATCTAAATATATGTCACTTGTGACATTGTTGAACTGATTGTATTTTTTTCTATTTAATAAGATTGATTTATTGCAGATTTTCTGCAACACCAAGAACTTTACTAAGAAAGTATAATAAATACTCTAAGTATTGAAATACACACCATTGTGTTGGGATTTAATATTTCAACATTAATTATAACATCATAAGGAACGCTACTGGTATTTAAAAATTATTATTTATTAATTGTTAAAATGTTAATAGAAGGAATTTTATGAATATTTTTTTCAAAGGAAATGTAAATGGAACGTTAATGGCAGTTTCTGGAAGTTCGCATCAGGGAGGTGAAGGAGACACGCTTGGTAACGTGAATTCTCGTAAGTTGGCCTATAGAGAAGTTGTTAGTATGCTCTAGAGAAAGGAGTTAAACAGTACAGGAACAGTTTGGTTTCCCAACCTCGAGGTCGGGGTTTCAATACTGTGCATTTTGCTTGCATCCTTGAGCAAGACACTTTATCTGCATTGCTTCTCATCACCCAGGAGTATAAATGGGAACCTGGTGGGGTTACCTCCTGCGCCGATTACCAGCAGCAACACAGCGTGGACCCAATGAGGCGCATTATAAATGCCCGTACCAGTACCAGTATTAGGAATCAGTATTTTAGCAGGCCTCACAACATACAGTTGGAAATAGGGAAAACTTATATAGTTGGATAGTCTAAATCACCTTAGAGACACCCCACCTCCCTCCTGAATGTGGCTATAAAGTACAGCCTGCAAACTAATAATAATATTGAGGGCCAACTTCATGTTGAAGCCTTTGCCTGAAATGGATGTAGACCACTCATTCTGACTTCTTCCCAGTTTTGTCATGTCATGCAGCCAACAAGGCACTGTCTGTTCCACAAAAATTGTATTTGGTGATTTCATTCCTTGCAACACTGAGAACGGTAACAATAGGGTGCTTTCAAACAGGACAGTAGGAGGACGACGACAGATTTTTGACTCCCAGTAATCCGTGCAATCCGATATCATATCATATCTCATATCATATCATATCTCATAGCTGTATTTATACTGTTGTGACACTAAAGTTTTGTCGTATCGTATCGTATGTAATTTCAGACATCACAAGAAGTGGAAGAAATTCAAATGAAGAAAACATTACTGATACTAATCTTGATAGGAACACCTTTATTTTATATTAAAGTGAAACATTTGCTCTGTGTTACTAGCTAAAATACTGAAGGTGTGAAAGCTATAATCTTTTCTAATAATAGAGGTGGAATATACAAGGGTAAAAAAAGAGTAATGTTCCATTTTGTTTGGGAACCAGCTTATCTTCTGAGAATTTTGATACACTTTTTATTCAAAATGGCCAAAAATTTAGTTGGTGCCGCTCAAAAAACTATTTGGGGATCTGGGATCAAAATTGCCCTTAACTTCTATATTCTCTACACTATTCCTCAGATTTTGTTGTCGATTTATAATATGTTTTTATGCCAAGGAATATTAAATAGTAATGATTAATTTTTACTTCAGGTTACTTCTATGTGAAATTTAGTATTTGTAGAATCACATGACCACATTTATAACCTTAAAGTAGCTCAATGCGTAATTTTATATTTTATATCATAAAAGAAATAACTATATTAGGAATCAAGCAATTTGATTTGTAACTGCATATGTAGTATATTCTTCATGAACTACAGTCACAATGACACAATGAATGGAAATAGTAATAATGTGTACTATAGTTTTCTTTTACAATGTACATTATGAGACTATGATTGAAATATATTTGACACTTTCTTTCCTAGATAATCAAGATGTATCCACAGCAGCTGTTGGCAGTCAAGAAGGTAAGTGCAGTAGGTGCATTAATTCCATCTTTTTCTTACTTGCCATCCTATCTGTATGTATATCTGCAAGTATTACACTAGTTAGGCACGTTGTAAGAGTACTCAAGATGATACCGAGTGTTATGAGAACAATGAAATATGTTTTTATTAATTTATTAAAAAATGTGTGTACAAACAATTTTAATAATTTGTTATACCACTATGTTTATTTTAATTCTTTCCTTTTATCAGAATTTTTTTTTGAAGTGTAACATTATATTTGAAACAAAAAATTACAGAAATGAAACATTAAAAAAAGATGATTCAACAGAAATCTTAAATACAGTGCTTTATTTCTGTTCTTGCAGAAGGGTCAAGAAGGGTACGGACAATTTCTTCAGAAAGTCAACCTTACATTGAAGAAGGTAAGCTTTAGACAACATTTCTTGTGACATAATCTGAGAAAAACATATATCACTTCATCAGAATTTAAACACAAGTCTGATGACATTCAGTTGTTATACCAACTGAGCTGAGGTTAGACTGGTACATTTTTATCCCAGCATATATACAAGCCCATATCCTACGTGCAAATCCCCCACCCCTTTAAATAATAAAATGTACATATTTTTAAAACAGTTGAAAATGTGAGTATAAAATCTTTTATTTTTCGTAATAAAACTTAAAGGGGAATCTTAAATCTTTAATATTTTTACCATGTGACCCTGTCTGGGTTCTAGGTGACACCATCAATCACCACTTGCTTCCATTTTTACACACCACTAATCCCCCTCCCCATTAGATGAATGATGTACAACAGTTATTAATGATTATGTTGATTTAGTTATGTTGATAATAATGATAATAATAATAATAATAATAATAATAATAATAATAATAATAATAATAATAATAATAGTAATAATAATAATAATAACAATAATAATAACAAAAACAGTGACACAGTTTGTACAACAAAAACAATAATTTAAACAATATCAAATGTAAAAGCAAATACATTAGAGAAATAAAGTTATCCAGGGAATCAATACTTATGGAGATCATATACAAAGAGTAGCGGTCAAACCACTAACATTACTAAATATTGTCAGAAGCTATCTGTGGAGTCAGTTTGGCGTAGTGTAAATGGTTTGTTTTCCCAACCCTGAGGTTGGGGTATCAATCCTTCGCTGTGCATTTCGTTTGTGTCCTTAAGCAAGGTACTTTATCTACGTTGCCTCAGTCTACCCAGTGTGTAAATGGGTATAAGCGAATTACTGGGGGAGTAACCTGCGGTGGACCAGCATCCCGCCCAGTGGGAGCATCACGCTCTTATCCACTTCACACTACTTGAAACTGGGATAAGCTTCAGGTCTATGAGCGCTGTGTCTCGGCAAGGATTCACTTTTTTTTTACATCTAACAAGGGTCCGAACATATACTTAACAAAAGATCACAATACAAATATTAGCAAAATATTATTTACCGATTTATTTCTGAAAAGATTCAACCACAAACTTTACTTTGGGAATCAAGTTTGGATGAAATTTTCCTCATCTGCATACTCAACACAACCATGCAATTTATTTACACACAAAGTAACTTTTACAACCTACCTAGATTAATAGTGAAATCTGTTTGTAGTGAAATGAAATAACTGAATAACAAACATCTAAATATATGTCACTTGTGACATTGTTGAACTGATTGTATTTTTTTCTATTTAATAAGATTGATTTATTGCAGATTCTCTGCAACACCAGGAACTTTACTAAGAAAGTATAATAAATACTCTAAGTATTGAAATACACACCATTGTGTTGGGATTTAATATTTCAACATTAATTATAACATCATAAGGAACGCTACTGGTATTTAAAAATTATTATTTATTAATTGTTAAAATGTTAATAGAAGGAATTTTATGAATATTATTTTCAAAGGAAATGTAAATGGAACGTTAATGGCAGTTTCTGGAAGTTCGCATCAGGGAGGTGAAGGAGACACGCTTGGTAACGTGAATTCTCGTAAGTTGGCCTATAGAGAAGTTGTTAGTATGCTCTAGAGAAAGGAGTTATACAGTACAGGAATGTGGAAGCGGTTTGCCACAGCGGGAACAGTTTGGTTTCCCAACCTCGAGGTCGGGGTTTCAATACTGTGCATTTTGCTTGCATCCTTGAGCAAGACACTTTATCTGCATTGCTTCTCATCACCCAGGAGTATAAATGGGAGCCTGGTGGGGTTACCTCCTGCGCCGATTACCAGCAGCAACACAGCGTGGACCCAATGAGGCGCATTATAAATGCCCGTACCAGTACCAGTACTAGGAATCAGTATTTTAGCAGGCCTCACAACATACAGTTGGAAATATGGAAAACTTATATAGGTGGATAGTCTAAATCACCTTAGAGACACCCCACCTCCCTCCTGAATGTGGCTTTAAAGTACAGCCTGCAAACTAATAATAATATTGAGGGCCAACTTCATGTTGAAGCCTTTGCCTGAAATGGATGTAGACCACTCATTCTGACTTCTTCCCCGTTTTGTCATGTCATGCAGCCAACTAGGCACTGTCTGTTCCACAAAAATTGTATTTGGTGATTTCATTCCTTGCAACACTGAGAACGGTAACAATAGGGTGCTTTCAAACAGGACAGTAGGAGGACGACGACAGATTTTTGACTCCCAGTAATCCGTGCAATTTAGATGTACATGTAGTCCTCTTACAAAATTTTTTCGATTTTTTTCACAGTCTTTTCCAACAATTTTAATGGGTTTTAACAAGTAAGCAAGTAAAACAGAAATGATTACGTACAACTTGTATGCTACAAGCATTCCCATTCATCCCCAGTGGCGGATTCAAGGGGGCCCATGAGCTGGCCTGTGTCCCCCCTAAATTGTTTACAATTTTTTTTTAATGGAGATATAAAGAAAATTATATTCAAAATTTGGGTCTGAGAGTGCAATTTCCGGTCATCTTACCTCAGCCCCAACCATGGTGAGGTTAAGGTTGTGTAGATCCTCCATCTGTGGAAGTACCTCCCCGGGCCCCCTCTATTTTGAATTCCTGGATCAGCCACTGATCCCCAAGATGTGTTGTACAATAAAGAGGAAACATTATTTACTATGTTGCCCATACCATTTTAAAATAAGGCCACCTGAAAACAAAATTTAAAAAACGTCAAAAAGTTTAAAGAAAAATTAGAATTGTTCATTTCAACATCTTGAGTTAGATAGAATAAGAGCAAAAAATAGGCTGAAAATTATGCATAAATCATAAATCAACTCAGGGCAGGATATTTAATTTTTTTATTATAATATATTTTCTATAGGACTGTCTCAGTATACAGGGCTCCGGACCTGGTCCCCGCTTTTTGAAAGCAAAAAAAGAAAAAAAAGAAAAGAAAAGAAAGAAAAAAAAATTTTAAAAAATTTGATCGCTCAAAGTGCCTCAGAGTTTATTTTCAGGCGTCTAGAACACCAAAAATTTGGGTGGGAATGCCCAAGGACCCCTAGGTTGGTGTTATCTCGATCAGCCCAACTGTTAGCCCCTTTTTTGGCCCCCTTTCAGACATCTCTGGATCCACCCCTGGTATAATGCACAAAACAAGTCATAAACAAAATTTAAGACTGTTTTACAAATGTTCAATCATAGTGAGGGTCCATCAAAGGCCGATGCCCAGCAGAACTTTTTAATTTATTAAAATAAACCCACAAAATAAACACTAACCTTAAAATAACAATGATATAATAGCATAATAAATATAAAGCCTGATTTTGTTTGCCAAATGTTTAAAATATATAACTTATGAATGTATATTATCAGTGGCATAGCTAGGTGAAAATGGGCCCTAGCGCAAGATTAATTGCCCGGCCCTTTGATGTAAAGCGTCAGTCGAGGGCCGTAGGCCTGAGTTGTGGCTAGTAAGTGGAGAAGAGGATGCTGATGGCCATCAGTTTCAGTGGTGGGTCCAGGAATTGGAAATGGTTGGGCTGAGGTAAGATAATTGATGATTATGGCACCTCTAGATGACTGGAAATGGCACTCTCAAACTTTGAAAATATTAATTTTAATACAATTTTATTTAAACTAAATATTTAATCTAAACTAGGAGGCACTATTGATTGATTTTTGTTTGTCTGGGTGCAAATATTTTTGGACCTAGAACTCGCTGACTACTAGGCCTATAGGATAGACTACAAATAATTTATTTAATATTAACAAAGAAAGGCCTCCAAGTTTTGGCTAGACAGTGCCCTGGACCTAACAAACATAAAAACTTTTTGCTTTCATTAAACCACTCAAGTGTTATAATAATAATATAATATTCATTAAAGTGATGGGAATGTTGAAATAGAATTCCAATCAGTAACATAAGGAAAAATACGTACTTTGAGAGGTACACTAATTGAGAAGCCTTGAAATACCTATTTTCCTGTCGTTGTCTAATAGATGACAACAAAAACGACAGCTACCGCATTTGCAGTAGACCTCAGGCTGTCAGAAATCCGTCGTCATCTTCCTAGCGTTCTGTTTCAAAAACACCTTTAACCTCACTCCATAGGGTGCATACATCCGCCGTGTGCCTGTATACCAAACAAATACGCAGACTGTGTATGATGGGTGATTCCTTTATTTCCCACCATGTGCCTGATACTAAACAATACACAGATATACAGACTGTGTATGATGATTGATTCCATTATTTCCCACCATGTGCCTGATACTAAACAATACACAGGCCATGTGTATTTTATGCTTGGGGTCAAAAATATAATTTTTGTGACCTTGTCCTTTGACTTTTTCTTCCCAAAATTTAATCATCTCTTTCTTCGAATATTATGTACCATTCTACTAAGTTTTATATAATCCATTTATTTTGAATGAAGTTGCTAAACAACAGACAGAGAGCGTTGAGTACATACCTCCTTTGGCGGATGTAATAATGATTATTCAGTAATGAATACATTTTTTTTTTTCAAAGACAATGTGAATGAAACAAGGAATGTCATATCTGACCAGGAAGGTGAAGGAGACAATGGTAATGTGGAATCTCGTAAGTAAACAGCCTTGTTAGTTCGCTTTAACTAGACCAGTTACACAAGATTTTCAAGTACCTGTGCCAGGGACCAGTAAATATACCGGTTCTGTGGCTTTTTCTTCTTGCCGGCCCAAGACTATGGAATTCATATTGCCTGCATACTACACAACTTATAAGGTTACAATTAAGTTAGTGCAGAGTTTTCGATACCTATCTGACACTGGACAGCACTGTTTTCTTTGCAGTAAACAGTAGTAGATCCGATGCAATAAAGCGAAAGGCAGGAGTATGTGCTCTTTTATGAAAAAGATAAAATGATGATCGCAGTTATACAAGACAATCATTTTATGGTGTACTCAGAGAGAGGGAGAGTGTCACAAATTAGAAAATTAGAGTATTTTTTGTACTCTGTTTAAAATTGACACTATATATCATTATTAGGTATCTTATTTGTATTGATAACATGTATTATAAGATAATTTGTTTCAGAATGTTGCAACTTCAATAACATTATTTCTTAAATTTGTTTCTTTTTTAAATGTTTTGGTTTTTTTTAAAGGTTTACCTACGACTTCTTCATTATAAGTAACAATGAAAACTGGAAAAAGAACACATTAAAAAAGCTGGAGGAAAGAAAGAAAAGAAATGGAAAAAATATGCAAGGATTCTATGATAAGCGAGACATCAGGCCTGGTGAAATTCGGCAAACTGCTGTTATTAATGCACTAAAAAAGAGTAAAGCATGCGTGATTGGATATATGAAGGTAGACATAACAGACCATCCATTGTATATTACAGTAATGCAACAAGAGCTTTTGCTAGAACAAAAAGAATACCGTAGAGGAAGACTCATTCCTGTTAAAACGGAAAAGGATTCTGTGATTCCAGATGAAATTGGTAATGTATTTCAAGTATATGATGGTTGGGAAAGTGATGCAGTTGACATTTTATATAAAGCTATTGAGAGTATTTCAGATTTTTTTTCATTTTGATTAGTGCCCTTTTGAATTTTCTGTTGGTGAAATGTTCATTAACAACATGGCAAAACTATTGTCATTGGCCTGGCCAATATCCAAAGGTTAGGGCTCAGCAGAACTGTTTCAACAATACTTATCAAATCACCTATTTTTATGTGTGGCAAGAGAATGGAGAAACATCCTTCTCAGTGGCAGATTCAAAAGGGGTGGGGGAGGGGCCAGCTGGCCTAGGGCCCCCTAAATTTTTCATTATTTAAAAATAAATTATTTCGCCAGGATCTCACCCATCCCCAGTTGGCAAATTCTGGCAAAACCACAGCTATATTCTAGAATGTCACTGTGCTGTTTAATATTCAAATTTAGTTAACAAAAACTATTCCATGTTGGCATGATTATCTAAGTTCCCAAGAGTGTTAGTACCATATCTGTAATAAATGTTTTTTTTTTTTTTTTCTAGTTGCATTTGAATATGTTTATCTTGTCGGACCATCCTAACAAACCTTTCTTGAGTTTAACTTAAAAAACCATTCCATGTAGGCATGTTTACTTTCACTGTAGTATCCAGTCGACTGTATATTATTAATACAGTATAAATATTTTTCCTTTTATTCAAAAATATTGCATCGTTATAATGTAGGGTAGGACATCTAATGCCAATCGACAGTACTTTTGTGAGACAAATGATAATAAAGGGGCAGTACAGTAGTAAAGCATTCCGATTTAATAAATTTGTATGAGATTCTTGTCCGTTTGGGCCATCCTGATTTCCTGGAGACTTTGGACAGGACCCCTTTTAACTCTGGTTAAAAGTGTGATGCGAAACACCCTCTCAAAACAGTGTTGAATTAAAAACAGAAATCATTCCATGTACGCATGTTTACAAGTTCTCAAGTGTTTATAACTATAATACTACAAATGTTTTTTAACTTGTAAACAATTGAACATGTTCATCTTGTGGTGGACCATCCTCACCAAACATTCTTGAATTTAACTTAGAAAACATTCCATGTAAGCATGTTTACTTAAGTCCAAAGAGTTAGTAACTGTTATAAAATTAATGATTATCTCACAAGACAATTTAACTCAGAAACAATTTGTTGGTTTACATTCATAAATAATTTCATGTCAACAAGTTAAGGCTTTAGAGCAGGATTCCTTATTTTAATTATACAGTATTTTTGACCAGTAACTGTATTCTTTTATTTTTGTACTGCATTTATACTCTCATGTTAAATATTTTTAGTGCTTTAAAATATTCATAATTGTACAATTATATTCCCGATATTATCTAATATTATGAATATTTTTATTTTTTAGTGTCACTTTATTCAGAATTTCTAAAATGCTGCTTAAAGTGTTTTAATAATATATCTTAATACTTTTTACTGTATTTTAATAATGTATTTATTGTATATTATATTGTTTTAATAAAATCCCTTAACCCTTTCAAGCTGGACCTTTTTAGGAAGAAGGTTATTTTTAAATAAATGCCAAAAAAAAGACGAAAAGAGGTTATTTCGAAATTGTTTTTGTTTGTTGGGGTTGGAAAAAGTTTGGCCTATGGGAAAAAATTGAAATTTTTAATTAGGTGGCATTGTGACCTTGGGGTGGCCATATTGGAAATCCCTATTTTCATAAATTTGTAAAAAAAGATAGAAATTCTTATGGGATGCTGTTTTTTTTTCACTGGATAATGGTGAAGATACATAAAATGAATAAAAAAAAATCAATAGTTTGATTTATTTTCATCATTTTATTCTAAAACAGACAAAAATCCATGTTTGTCGGCAGAATCGTGAAAAAAAAATTCCAAAAAATCGCTGCAAGATGAGTTTTTCGCAACAATTAGTCATTAACTCCATATAATTCAGTAGAAATCACCTCCAGTTCATAGAAACAACTATAGATGGCGCCTGCAGTACAGGAACAATTTTAAAAAGAATTATTTTCATTCCCCCGGTACTATCATGCCCTCGGTAGTACCGGGGGAAAGCAGCAAAAGGGTTAATGTGCTTTACTATATTTTAATGTTTTAATAATATATCATTTTAATGTTTTTTACTGTTTGGAACATAGCTTCAAAGCACATTTCTGTTATATTTATTTATAGTAGACTGAAGAAATTGAATTGAATTGCTGCAATGTATAGAATTTGAAATTCATATTAACTACTTGTACATTGTGCAGTGTGCTTTATGCGATACACAAATATTGATTTAAAGTGAAGTGGATATTGTGGTTTTGTGTTACAAATCAGTTAAATGCTTGAAAAACACATAATAGTTTGGTTAGTCTTAGAATAGTTTATGGCTATGTTCACACACGGTTAGCAGGATCCAGACAAATAACATGCACTCACCCGAACTATCATACTCTGTTATTTAAAAAAACTGTACTGGTGAAACTGCTACCAATGTTGGTTGGTATAATTTCATTGAGAGAAACTTGTATGGCCTCTATTCACATTTTAATGACAAATTCACTCTGTTTTTAGGAATTTTAAGTAAATTATAAAATTTTTATGGATGTGTGAGATAATAAAATGTAGGCATAAGACGTAAAAAGTGGGTGCTTGCTCATGCGCGAGACTCATGCATTATGCATGTGCATGTCCATACACTGGACAGTGTTAAGAAACAATATTAATGAGGCTGGATGAAAAGATCAACTACGTTGTATGTGATGTATCTTAAATTGTAATCAATCTTGTTTCTAATATTTAGTAGATCCAGATGATTTTTTTCTCAATTAAATTGTAATGATGCTTTATAAAAACTTTGTTAAAGAATAATTACTCTGTCCTCTGCTGAATTCACAGCCATCAAACATGCAACAGTTTTCGTAATTTTCACCTTAAGATTATACATGTTTAACACTTTCAACTAAATTTTCTTTTCATACAAAAAAAAATTAAGTATCAATTTCTTCCACAAGACATTTGAATTACTGTACTTGATATAGCTCTTCTATCTTACAAGAATGAATAACGAATCATCAAAATGCATTATAGCACTAGTGCGGGGCACACACTTCATAGGCCGAACTTATCTCCACTCTATGTGAGCGTTGGACAACTGCCGATTGTTGGCAAGTCCGAGTGAATGTTGATAAAAAAATCTGCTGCATGTGCCTTGTCGTGTTGAGTTCTCCATGGACTCGCAGGAACTGATACCTGTTGGTGCAGTTTGTGTCCAGCTTAAAGCTGAATTTACAACGGATCCGGACCAAAATTCGGATAGCGTTTCCGATGCGCTGAACGCCAGCGTCCCTATTCTTCGTGGTCCAATTTTGGTAGGCCTTCCAATCCGAAAATTTGGATTCAGTGTGAATGAGGCTTTATACTTCATATACTGTATTTAAAATTACATATCCTGCTTCATCAGACACCTGGGACTCAACAACATTAACCTACAACAGTCCAGTGAGTAATCACTTGTACCGAGATGAGTAATATTCTTCCTCAATTTCATAGAGGTCTTTCGCAAGGTCATCTCTGAGCTGCAAGAGCTTCATGTCAATGTCTGTCTGTACACCCTTTAGATAGTGTGAACGCTTGGTGATAGCTTCGTTAACAGAAGGGAAATCATTCAGGATCAAAAACTGTTTGATGTCAGCTACCAGTGTCATTAGAGATTCACCAGCTCGGACCTTGTGTAAAAGGATTAAAAATTAAATCATCATACAGATAGAGGCTGGGAGGGTGGGGAGTAGAAAAAAAAAAGTCAAGCTTAAACAAATCACACTCCAAATAATAACGCAAACATAAGGTGATTATGCATACAGTTGAACTTGCTTAAGTCGGATCCAAAATGACATTGAAAAATTGTTCGACTTGGATAAAATTCAACTTACAGATTGTTATTTAATGGAAAACACATCAATTTGGTACAGTATGTAAAATAAAATCGACTTAAAAATTATTTGAGTTAGGCAAAGTTGAATTATGCAAGATTAACTGTTATATAAATCCATGAAAATATGTAAAGTAATTATACAAGTTATGAATGAACCAAAAAAGGATAAAACAAAAAAACGTTGAATCTTAAAATGTTTCTGTCTCTTTTCGGAGTTACTGTCTTTTTGTTTTATTTAAGACTAATTAGTGGATCCTTTGGTTTTTAAAAAAGGATAAAAAATGATAATAAATCAACAAAATTAAGCTAATCCTTTATGATCATTATGTTTTTGGGATTTGAAGAAATATAAATCCAGACGAAAAGAATTCTCTCTTTTTTTAGATTTTCTTTAGAATCTTTCCTTGTTTTAATACTGTATATTACTACATTCGGTTTGATTGGTAAAATCTTGAAAATTCAATCAATTGAAAATTAAATCAAAACAGTAATTTAATAATAATTTCCAATTAGACATGGATCTAAAGAGTTATTGTAGATTTACCCCTTTTTTACTACATCATTCCATAAATTGATTACCAACCAGTTTAAGGGTCCATGCGAGGAATATACAAAAGCTAACTGCAGTATTTATGCATTGGTGAGAAAAATATTTTCCTGCTCAAAATTTCAATTGGAAGCTAATATACAGCACAAGTACCTGTTTACAAAGTAAGTATAACATATGCTGTATATGATTTTATTAGTCAAGTACGTTTAATAGCTCTAAACTGACATTATATTTTTAACATAGCAGAAAGTAGCAGGTAGGATGTGCATGTGTGATTAAGCACCATGGATAAGCTAGGTCCGGTCTGATTTGATGGAGGTGGAAAACATGCCTGTGTTTCACCAATCAGGTAATACTTACTATATTAGCAGCTCGAACTTGCATCTCATTGTGGTCTTGCTCCCCTTGTGTTTGTTGGGACACCTGACTGACTTCTTCAACCTTTTAAAAAAAAGTCATTTAGTTTAATGAGCAAGAAATAAATATAAATGCGAGAGCAGTCACTCTATAGAGTGCACACCTCCACCCTGTACCTGGATACCGAACAATACGCAGGCTTGTGTATGGGCGATTCCATTATATTCTTTTATGCTCAAGGTCAAGAGGGAAAACTGAATTCTATGACCTTAACATTTCCTCCAAAAGGTCAATCATTTTCATAATTATGTACCATTCCACTAAATTTTATGATGATCCATCCTTTAGTTTCTGTTTAATATCTCTGACAGACAGACATAACCTTGGCAGAGATAATAACATGGATAAGTAACATATTCGCAGAGTTGTCCTACCTACCTTGGCAAGTTTGATGATTTCTGTGAAATTTTCTAGCATAGAACGCACATCATCTTTCAATCTTTTGTTATACGACTTCAAAAGATGGTCTTTACTTTGAGGTATTGATGAACGCTGCCCAGCTTGTGCCATGATTGGTTTGAAACTTTAATATCTAAAAAAAATAATTTAATTTATATTAGGCTAATTACAAAAACAAATCATTGAGAGGGCGGGATGTATAGGACACTGCATTACGTACATAACAAAAAATGCCATGATCACCTCCAATAATAATGTTTAAAAAAGTGGCCAACTACACATAACTATCTGAAGTCTGCCATTTTGAGTCTCCGAGTTGTTCATTGGTGGAGCTGGCTTGAACTTAACCTTAGTTAAAGTTTGTAATATAGTTTAACATGATTTCTATCCAAAAGATAATGCTCTATTTATTATGGGTACGAGTCAGTCAAAATTTGGGTACGAGCTGTGGGTGCGACTACGCATTGGCATGTATGAGTTAGTCTGTATTCCTGATCTCAGACTCTGACAGCACTGACCTTTACCAATAGCTGAATTACTCATTGAGTGGTTTTAGTGAAGCCACCATGCCATGCTGTAAAGTTTTATTGTGTGATGGTACCTCAACAACCAGCTCAAACTTGTTGCGGAAGATATTTAGGTGAGCAGAATTTTAATTATTGTATAATACATTGCAAAATCTGAGCGGAAATTGGCCCTTATTTTCAGAAATGAGCAGGCAGATTTCTAGGCCAAATTTTTGCAAGGAGGATATATTCCCTGCGCAGGCATTACTACTTTACAGGTTGGATGCCATGTTGGGTAGCCCAAAACTTCACAAATACCTACGTCATCACAGCAAAAACCTTTTGAACCAGGGTGACGCTCACCAACAATGCAACATTGCTTGCGCTTTTGTTTTGTATGTACACTGTACAGGCGCATTGATGATTGAGTGGTTTGAGGCAGTGATTAATAAAAAACGCTGTGGCTACTGAGAGATACGGTACTGTATTTCTACTTCCATTTGCTAAAGGTCGGTAAATGGCATTATGTCACTATCACCCTATGAAGTGCAAGAATGTGTGTGAAGTCATCTTTCAAGACTGGCATTGCTGATCACCCACAATGAGCGGTGAAACGCGAACGATGTACTTGTAATAATAGAACATCAAACAATACTATACTGTACTTAGTACTGTCATCGATAAATAGGTGTATGGTTCCACTCAGTAAGAGTCATGTCATTTATCTGGACTACATACAGTAAACCATGTTATCAAACAAGGACTGAATCCTGTACCAAACTCTTGGCATACGCCTCTACTACTAGGCCTTGCTTAAATTCTTCGCTTAGACCCTTCGTTTGTAGGCGGCCCTGCTCTTTGACATAGATCAATCTGGGTAGCATATACTGTATCAGTCATAAACTAATTTCCCCATGGTCATACCAAGTCTGAAGTTCTCAACCCCCAAAATCTCATCCCAAGTTTTAGTACAAGAAGCTAGGTTATAATAATATATACTCAACATTAATAGTACGCTTTACAATCTGACCACAATATTCATACACTTTGAATGCACATGCAACTGTTATGGTACTTCCCCTATGATAAACATCATTCAACTAGAATCCAGATCAAGAGAATAAGTTTTCCCATCATGATTATTAGTGTCAAATTTTTCGAATATGCTTTTGATGCAGGCACATTTAAAACAGTACTATGGAAAAAAAAAATGCTAGTAGGCCTATATGAATCCTCTTCTTTAAACGTTATATCAGTTTTTTTAGTGCAAGTGTTGTCATGTAAACAGATTAGAGCAAAGACTTAGTAGTACTGTATGTGTGCCTGGGCATACTGTACGTCCTGAGGTTTCATGCCTTGCTTGATAAGGCTATAAATAAAAGACATGACTCTTATTAATGAGTGGAAACCTACGCCTATTTTTCGGTGACAGTATTATGAGAACCTGTAACTCTTTGCAATAGTTAATCATGTGCTAGGCAAAGGACATTTTCCGCTAGTCACACTGCTCACCTCACAAGTGACACTGTGGAGAAAGATGATGTCACACACATTTCGGCACATCATTGGGTGATGGTGACGTAATGCCACTTATCTTACCTTTTTAGCAAAAAGGAAGTAGAAATACAGTACCGTATCTCTAGCCACAGCGAAAAAAAAAAAATGATTTTGTTAAATCAATTAGTAGAAGTATTGCAAGAAACATTATTTTAAACAATAATTTAAACAAATGCCAATGCAAAACAAAAACTCGTCTAAACTGTTACATCACTACCAACATTGGGCTACCAACATTTACATGCCGTACAAAATACAATCTGTACAACCTAGCTAGGCCGATATTAGTAAACCACATAATAGAGATCAGTGAGTGGTTGCACACCGTACCCGTTATGCTAACTAAGAAGGATCCTGCTAAATAGGTAGACTAGCCTAGGCTAGGTCTAAGCCTGACTAACTAGCTAGGCCCTAGCCTAGCTAGGCCTAGAGTAGTAGGCCTAGCCTAGGCTTAGTAGGCCTAGACTCCTAGTTCGGGGCCGGGGCCTGCCTAGTAGTAGGCCTAGGCCCTAGCTAGGTATAAACAAGAAGGCGTCGTGATGTTAACTACCGTGAAATATTAAGGCTAAATGTAATGAGCCTAGGTTAGGCCCCTAGTTTATTCCCTACCTTCGGCTATAAAAAAAACACTGCTGTTTACATTTCAAGTTGTAGAAAACAGCCAGAAAAATTGTCCGCTCCGCCTGGAAACAAAACGAAGAAATGCGCCCTCTTTTGAAACTAGGCCTAGGCTAGCCTTCTCAATAACAAAATCGATCAAAAGTTTCCCAAGAAATCTATTTATTTTAATATTATTATTAAAAGTAATATATCTAAACGATAATAAATACAATATATAAAGACAAACTTTTATGGAACTTTCTTTTTTATTTAGTTGTTTGCTATCTTTTCTTCTTGGAGAGTATCAGGAACTGCTGGGTTTTCAAAGCACTTTTTATTTTTTAATATTTCGACCTCTCAACCTACGGCCAAAATGGTGAGTGGAAGAGTTAAATAAGTGTTGCCTAAAATCACTTTAAATCTACCACATCACTCTTGAAATTGAATTTTTCGATGAAAAAAGTTTATTTGTATGACCTTAAAGAAGATACATTAAGCCATTTTTTGTATCGAATATGTTTTGTTAATGTACAATAATGCGAAAAATATTTCTGCTCGGAACTATTAGTAAACATGAGCGTACCAGCTCAAATTATTTAGCAGCAGGGCAGACGCCTATATATCCTACATACGCTAGGCATTATGTAGGCATAGTATATCGTAATTGTATTTATTATGTACTGAAACATTTCCTGTTATGGATTTGTTGTCTAGCTACCAAACAAGGTCCTAGGCGTAGGCCGTAGACTAGGCTAAGCGGCAAGCCTAGGTATAGATAGGCCAAAGCTTGCGTGTTGTTGGGCTCCCAACCAAAACGTTAGAAGAAAGAACCAAAACAAGCAAGGGACGGGCTTTGATTGATGAGTGAATAGAATGGGGATTCTTTCCAAATACTCTCCTTCCTATCCTGAAAACCTAGGCTATTCTGTCTGTGTAAAGTTCCTTTCTAGTATAGTAGTACCACCTAGATTCTTTGGTAATAATATGTGGTGGAGCTAGGGTGATTGGACATTCGCATTCAATAATTGTTGTTGAATCAAGGATTTTTTAGTTGAATTAATTAATATTCAAATTTAGCTTAATTTTATTTATGCACTTTCTCACATAACTTTTAATTCTTAATTTTTTTACCTGAATTTTTTTCTCACAGTCACAACACATAATTATAAAACATTTTTACATGATTCAACCACTCATAAAGTACATTTTTTCAACAAAAAGGTACCTTTATAAATATAGGTTGATACAGGATTTCCGCGTTAGCTAGCACAACGAGCTCTACTTTTTTTCAATCAAGTAAGAAATTGCCAGAATGTCCGATTCAATTCTTAAATTTTGAAACCATTAAAGGCCAGTCTTATAATTTTAATTGGAATTTTCCCATGAAACATCCAACAACAACAAAATGTGGCAGTACCATCTTTTTGAACTTTCTTGTCGTAATCGAGGTTAATCGAACCAACGTTTATCATTGGCTTTAATAGTTGTCTTTCTGTATTTAGGCCTAGGCTCCTAGGCCCTATTTTTCGACCTGTGTACGCATTTGGATTATTACTAATTTTTGAAATAATTATTGTACGTGTGAATTTCATGTGAACACACATAGTCAAACAACAGCACCATACAATATAAACAATGACATACAATACGGCAAATAGATAATATTTCATAAACGTTTAATCAAAAAACTTCACGCTGCAAACTCAGACATTCTGGAAATTTCTTACTGATTGCAAAATGGCAGCTGCTCGTCGTGCTAGCGAACACAGATTCGCTGTACTTATTTGTGGGCTTATTTGTTGAAGAAGGTACTTTGTGAGTGATTAAATCATGTGAACATGTTTGTTAATTATATGTTGTGACTGTGAGAAGAACATTGAGGTAAAAAAATTAAGAATTAAAAGTTAAGTGCGAAAGTGCATTAGCGCCGGCAGTTTATATATTATTGAATTTATCCTGTGACTCATGATTGGTGGAATAGTATATTATTATTATTATTAGTAGCATGTAAGGTTTTTCAGTAAAAGATGTGATTAAGAAAAATGAAAAGGCAGGAATATAAAATTGAATTTAACTAGGTACCGTATTTCCTCAGGTATAAGCCCACCTCAGCTATAAATCCATCCCCTACTTTACGCCTAATTTTATATACCAGCCTTTCCTCGGGCAAACTCCCAGGTATAATTATAATGAGTAGCTTCTCCTGACTTTTGTAAATACTCCAAATTTCCTTTTGATTGAAAAGGGGATTCCCCAGGATTTCCGCACAAATTGCATTAGCCACTATTCCAGTCTCATTGATGTCAGTTAATTTCATTAAGTCTAGGTGTACAGCGATTGTATAATTAAATATTTTATTTTCAGCCAAAAGCCAAGAAGACAAAGGGAAAGAAGGTGGCCCCAGCCCCTTATGCAGCAAAGACTGCTGCACCAAAGAAAGTGGTTAACCCACTCTTTGAGAAGCGACCCAAGAACTTTGGTATTGGCCAAGACATCCAACCAAAACGTGACTTGACGCGTTTTGTGAGGTGGCCAAAGTATGTACGTCTGCAGAGGCAGAAGGCTGTCCTGTACCAACGTCTGAAGGTTCCACCTAGCATCAATCAGTTTTCTCAAGCACTTGACCGACAGACAGGTAATTTATATGTACTCTTTATTCATGAATCTAAAACTTGTGATACTCCAATGATGCACTTGAATATTTGCTAGATGAATACCATTTTGTTATGAAATCATCCTATTGTAACTGAGGTACATCACAGTTTATTTTTGAAAGATGTTTTTTTTTTTAAATTTGGTCATTTTAATATGAATTATTTTAAAATCTAGCTAATAATCATGTATTATATTTTCAGCTACTCAACTTTTCCGTCTTCTGAACAAGTACCGACCTGAAAACAAGGAGGAGAAGAAAGCCCGCCTCCGTGACCGTGCAGAGAAGACAGCTAAAGGCGAGGAAAGTGCCCCAACAAAGCGTCCACCTGTTGTACGTCAAGGTATAAACACCGTCACCTGCTTGATTGAATCCAAGAAGGCTCAGCTGGTGGTCATCGCTCATGATGTTGAACCACTGGAGGTGAGATAATGTTAAACGTTTTACAGTGTATTACATGCTATTGCTGACGGCTGTTGGGGACACTGATTGGTCGGTTGATACAGGAAGGCGTCCCAATTGCAGACAGACTGTGCAGTAAATAAATTGCAGTGTAACACTGTTGCAAATGTGTGGCAATTTTATACAAGCCAAACTTTAACTTTTTTGATAATTAACCTAAGGTTCCACAGAACGACAGTGCATTTGTCTGATAATGAATGTGTTTGTGAGACATGCACGTTATCCTGGTTATGTTCTGATTGGTCGGTTGTTAACTTTGATTGATACAATGAACATAAGACTGAAGTTTTCATTTCCTTCCCCTATTAATCCCTGCAGTTTGTTGATTTAAAACTTTGGTATATTTTTGGATGCAGTGTTTGCAATGATGTTTGAATTTCTTCACCTGAAACATCATGTGGATATAAAACCGAGCTTTTTAATACTGAGCAAACACATCATTTTCTGTTCATCCATCTTAAAACCACTATCATGGTGAAATATTCCAGAAATTTATTCTTTAAAAAAATGGTTTGCCACCATGAATGTGAATTTAGTAAATAATAGTATAAATTTTTTTCAGAACATGTAAATGGCAGGTGATTCCCAATGGGAATAGGAGTTAATTTTCTTTACAACCTAACCTACTTATCTCTATCTTGGAGTAAAACAGAATAAATACATGAAATATTAATGGTTTATTACAGATTGTGATGTGGCTTCCAGCCCTCTGCCGTAAGATGGGTGTCCCATACTGCATTGTAAAAGGCAAAGCCCGCCTGGGACAGGTTGTTCACAGGAAGACCTGTACCTGCCTAGCTTTCACCCAAGTCAACAGTGAGGACAAGGGCTCCCTCAACAAGCTCATTGATGCTGTCCGAACCAACTACAATGACAGAGGAGATGAGGTATGAAAACTTAATTATTAAAACACTTTTTGTGTGTTTGAAAATGGTTAAGAATATTAATAATAGTGTTAAAATAATATCTAAAGTGCCACTCAAATATAGTTCAAGTTATACTAAATTCGACTAAAGCAAAGTTGAATTTTATTCGAGTTATATCACGATAGCAACTTTACTTGGAAAGTTAGGCCTTACAGAGACCGGAACAAATTAACATGCACTGACGGTACATGCACGATTTTGACCGCACATTTGGCCTAGTACTGTGGAAGTAAAGGCCTAGGCTTCCTAAACTTCCTTGAAAGCTGTATTCTTCAGAGTAGCAATACATTACATTAATTCTTCAGTTATTACATTATATTTAAAAATGTTTTGTTAATTGCTTCTATGCCATTCATTTGAATACAGTATAAAGAGAAATCAGTTAATATTTAAATTAAAGCTTAATCATATTTATATTTGATAAACTAACATTTAATAACTGATTTTTGCATGGCCATCAAGCAAACACGTTTTAAAAAAGATAAATTTAGTTGGAAAATCCCAAAGACCAAACCAATACTTACTAGGTGAAAGTCTATTTATATTTATATTTCAACACGTATATTGATAGTAAGTAAACCAGATGTGTATACCCCGCCACAAAATGGACCATTCAAAAATTGCCCACTGAAATGCACGTACTTGCTTCTCGCTGCACTGCAAGGAGAGCAGGTGATGCTCTGCAGATAGTTTTTATGCAACAAAGATTGGGATGAAGATAAAACTAGCATATTTGTTTTATATGACGGGTTATTCCCTATGCCCAAATTCCATAAGACATTTATCTTACAATTACTGTACGTATCTTACAATACAATTAAATTTACTGTATTTAAAAAAAAAAAAGTGAAGTGACATAAAAATAAATTAAACTTTGACAATTTTTTTCGACTTGAGCACATTCGACTAAACGAGTTTGACTGTAATTGTGAATGACCCCAAACATAACAGGGGTTTTAACATTTATGTTTCTGTTAACTGCTTGCAATGATGTTTGAATTTCTTCACCTGAATTATACATGTGGTTACAAACCAATGAGCTTTTTAACCCTGAGCAAGCAACCCTGTAGTACATCATTTAAGTGCAGTATATTCTGTAATTTATTTGTGTAATAATTAATACATTTCTTACAAATCATGCTTTATCCTTCGTCTTACAGATCCGTCGCCACTGGGGAGGTGGACATGTTGGAAAGAAGAGTCAAGCAAAGATAGACAAATTTGAACGACTCAAGGCAAAGGAACTTGCTAGCAAAGTTTAAAAGAGAATAAAAATACTGTAATGCTCGCCAACATAAATCATCTTTTTGCTCTGTAAAAATAAAATTAAAAAGAGAAAGAAGTCATGTCTGTGTATTTGCATTACTAGTGAATTTTTTTTTCTGAGATGATTAGTCTGGGACTGTTTGATGTTATTGTTAGACATTTTTCCATACTTTTTGTCTGGAACATGAATTGCTCTCATCAATCTAAAAATAAGCTGTCTTGTTATCTCGTTCAGTCTGCATACCACTATTGTGTTGTTGCAGATTCTTACAAAAATTTGTTCCACATACAGGTACTAAATAGGGAGTGCTAGATAACTTCTCATCTTGGAATTAGGCCAAATAGAAAAAAATGTTGTTGACCACGCCCGACTGACCCAAATTTAACGGAATTCAGGGTCGGCTTTTTAATTTTAGTTTTTTTTTTTTTTTTTTTTTACTTCAAGGAACAAAATTAATTTTTCATGAGCTAATAAGGCTGAAACAGCCTTGGCTAGTTGGCCAAGGCCTAGCCTATTTTGATGCATGATCCGCGATGCTAATCAAAAATTGTTGTCTTATTTGTGTATTTTCTACTTTTTACACATTTTTGGTTTAAAAAAAATAGTGTTATTCTACTGACCTACACATTTTTTTTTTGTTCTAAAACTCTGTACTACAGTCTGATGGTGAGACAATGTGGTGTGAAAATCTGTTGATCTGAATTGTGAAAGCATACCCTGTATATTACACTAGAGTACTGTACAGTATTATCAATCTGTACATTTAAACAGCGTTCAGTACAGTAGCCTCCAAGTGAAACTCAAATTTACACTGCACAGTAAAAGCATAGCCTCCCCATGGTGTGATTTTTCTCTGAGAATTGAGTACGAATTTATATAACCAATCGGACTTGCCGAACTTAAATTAGGGTAAACAAACAACTTACTAAAACAGAGACAAAATAAATTACAATTTCAACTAAATTAAAAACCAAAGATCTTATAAACACAAGCACAAGATAGCGTTCTCTGCGATTTACGCGTAACAAATAGAAGCGTCAATTTGGCAGAAAAAAACAAAAAAGTATTCATTTTTGGGAGAGGGCGTCATAGCTGTTGCCATGGAACTGAGATGTTTCCGGTTCTGTACACGTGATTGATACCTTGGTTGCTGTATTTAAACGGTGACGTACGGCTGATACATAATTTGCACACATAACAGAACAGAAATCAAACTACTACTTTTTTAGTTATAAAAAAAGCAAGATAAAAAATACATAAATCTAAATAATTTTAACCAAAGTGCTGAAATATTCCTTACTTTTTTTTTATTGCTTCAGGATTTCAATAAATTTTTTATTTACATGCATTTACATAAAATAATATAGGCATTAAAATCAAATTTTTATTGCTTTCATTGTACAGTATATTGTATTTCCTTTATATTTTTACATGCTTCATGATTTCAATAAATTTATAATTTACATGCATTTGTATAAATAAAGGCATTCAAATAAAATCATTTACATTTTACATGCTTACACAACCGGAGCCTACATGCATCAAATCAACGATTAAAAAAAAAATGTTGTATGTGTATACAGCCAGATTAGGGTTATCATTAAAGCGGCATAACAAGTTAAAGTATTTTACATGTTTTTAAAAAATATAATATAGAGTAAAAATTAAATCTGACCAGCAATAAATCAACGCAGATGCGTTTGGTGGTGATGAAATGTGCGAAGTTAATGTCGTAATTAATTCATTGGAAATTTTATATGTTTAATACACAGGTAGCTCGAAATTCCCTAGACAACAGTCGTCAATATTGTCGTCTAGGACGACAATGTGTTCGCTGCATTCCGTTTGATTTGAAATTTGTGATTTCGTTTCGTGATGGGGTTGAGCTGTACTACTATTATAGTCATTTATATTAAACTTGTTTATCATCATCATAGGATCTTTGGTTTTGGCGTATTTACAAGACTTCACTAGAGAGGGCGGTTTTCCATAACATGATATCGCGCAGAGTGTGTGTACCAATGGTACGTATTTAAGTGTGTGTTTACCATAGAGAAAAAGAAATTGAACAGGGTGTACACACACATACACACCCCAAAGCCCCAGGTCGCAAGCATGGACCAAGATTTGGAGAACGTTTTACTGTCTTTGGTAAGTTTTTATTTAGACAAAATAATGTTTAACAAAACATGCTTACTCCAGTAGCTGAGCTCTAGTAAGTTGGAATTTGTAAGTACCTCTTCACTCTGGTTTACTTTAGAGGCATTAACTGAGCATATAGTATAAAGAATGGATTCAGGTGTTCGCTAGCTAGCTGACGGCACGTGTCTGACAATAGGGTTGGTCTAGGTAGAGACCTACGGCATTAGGCTACCCTACTGTACTGTGTACAGAGAGTTTGATCCTATCACTGTCTGTGGATTTGAGATTGTTGATTTAGACCTATAGACTCTTCATCGTCGTACTATCTTTTGTAATAAGCGTTTAATACTTTTTAGGCAATATTTGTGATTTTAACCTTTTGTTTTGACCTGATAAACTAGGCCTATATAGGCTAGCCTACTGTAGCAGAATACATTATGAAAATCTGAGTAAAAAAAGTGTATTTTTAAAAAATAGGTTGGGTTCACGAATTGAAAAAGTTCAAACATGTCTACTTAGAATGATATAGGCCTAGGTTGTGTGTATCTGGTGCCCTGGTTGCATAAATTTCGTAACTAGGCTGTCTGTCTGCCAACTTTGCTGCCATCTGATTGAGGTTGAGGCTATCAGCACTGCCCCAGCGTGAAAAAGCTGCTGTTTCCTGTTTTTTAAATAAATATGTTATCTATTTTATTCTGTTTTAAAAAATAATCTTATAAATTATTAGAAGTTTATTTTCTGTGATAATTTTATCCACATAGTTCATGTTATCAATGTTACTATGAAATTGAAATAGCGACAATAAACATACATAATGATAATAATTAGTTTATAGTTACTGGGGGCCAGTTCCAATCTGTTACCACCAGTGGCGAGCCAACATAAATTGTGTAGGCCTACTTCTATTTTTTTCTATGTCAGCCCCACACATTTTTTTTAAATATAGCGTTGGATTAAAAATAGAAGGGCCCATGGGATAACTTTCACTGATACCAAGTGAGTCCTTCTGTATACTACATGATTCAATCACTATCACAAGGTTTGGATGGGGTTTGCACTGTGTTTTTGGAGGTTTACGGTGTTTTTTTTTAGGTTTTTTTAACAAAAAATCAAGATTTTACCAAAAATAGGTTGTTATGAACATAAAATTATATTTTTATCTACTAAGATACCAACTTGAGTCCTATACTACATGATACAATCACTATCACAGGGTTAGGATGGGGATTGCACTGTGTTTTTGTAGGTTTGTGGGTTTAGCAATTTTTTAATACAAAAATGGACTTTTTACCCCAAAAATAGGTTGTGACGAACATAAAATTATGATTTTTTAAAAATTAAGATACCAAGTTGACGTACAGTAACACCATAGTACTCTATAGCCAATGACTGATTCCATTATTATATAAAAATTTATATTTGTCAGATCCAGCAGCCCATACTAGCTACAGTATCTGTAGTAGAGTAGACTTTACCCTCGTTTTGTTTCGGTCATAAATTTAGGTTGTAATTTCGTTGCTAGGAAAAAAATGGACGATTAGACGATGACTTGTGTAGCCTATTCCTTCTAGCTGCCAAGCGCTGCCTCGAACAACAACAGTCAACCGCCCTCCTTGATGCAGTTACGAAACATGAGGTAATTATAACAGTCTTCAGTATGTACATACACATAATATATTGTGATACTTTTTTAATTTAATTAACTTGCTAGTTATGCATAAGAAATTAAAGAAGTTAAATCTTAATTTAGTGCAGTGTCTGCCTGAATTCAAATTCTGTCAAACCAAGAATATTTTCTGAAATAACTATACAAATAGAACAGATTTCTGGCCACCACTAAGGATAACACTAGTTTGATACATCAGGTTCCCTGTTAGTATATAAATATATTAAATATAATATAATAATGATCTATTTTGCAATATGGATAATCCTTTTTAAATTGTGTAATTTGTTAAAAAATGAAAAGTTTTAAAATGGAAGACAGTACATGTAATTGATTTTAGAAAAGACCATCATAAAATAATGTGTTTAATGTTTGTTGAAACAAGGAAGGAAACACAAGCTAGACTATAAAAAAAAGTATAGTATAAAATAGTAGCATACTGTATCCATGGATAGTGGGTGGGTAGCCCTACACGTCCCCTCCCACCCACTGGAAATTTGCTGACCAAAAAATGACACTCAAGTAGCTAAAGGTCACCTCATATTACCCTATTTTGCCACAAAACATCTCCACTGAACCTTTTTTCCCCAAACCGTTCTCTCAACAGCCTTTCCCCTTCCCATGTCAATACTTTTAGATACTGTACATCACTGCTGTCAGGCCAAGATACTGTACATACATTATGATTAATGTACATACTGTATTGATTCACCTCTAATACTGTACATGTGATGGCCTCTTTACTCTCATCACTGACAATCATGACAAGTGAAAACATGTTGATGTTAAAATAAAAATCTGAAGAAAACTCCACAGTATAGCCTGCTGAATCTAACATGATCTTTTTCTCTAGGTTCTTGTTGAGTATACAGGTTGGGACCTGCTACCGATCGTTAGTCCTTATTTGGCATCGGATAAAGTGGAAGAACGAGATGAGGAAACCCACAACAACTGTGTAGATATCATTCAGCTCATAGCAAAGGTAAAGAAATGTTTTTTTAATTATTCATCATCATCATCATCATCATCATCCCATTTGTCCCAGACCTACCAAGTTCCCAGAAATTTTCAGGTTTCCCAGATTTTTTAAGGAGAATCTAGACTAACCAAAATTTTTTTCAGGTTTTCCCAGAAAAAATAGAATTTTCACTGTGAATATTAAAATGGCTCCCAAGTGCATATTTAAAAAAATTAAACAACATTTTTCTCTTTCATATAAGTTCCTTACAATTTAAACAACTCCAAGCCTTTGCATCACCACACAAATTCAATAAAACCTTAAAATGACTTATTTTGCCTATTTTTTCCCACTTAAAAAAGCTACTGTGTCTGGTCGTCGGGTCGTCTCATTATCGTCCTCCATCTGGTGCGATCCATTACTGCTTCTAGGTCCACCAATCTACCAATCTTCCATCTTCTCTGGAGCAGTCCATCCATCTCTTTCTGGGTCTCCCTCTTGGCTTTTTTAATTATTACAAAACCATTATCAATTTTGGGGCCAGTTTGCATCAATTGTAGCAAATATTCAATAAATGTTGAGGTACAGTGTAGTCTAATATTCATTAATGAATGTAGGGAATTAGCTGTTTGGAGCCTATTGTACTATCCTTATCGTTGTGTGATAGAATGGCCAGTTCTTTCCCACACCTTTTTTAACCTTGCCTGTTTATTTCAACAAGGTAACCATTTACACTCCAGGTTGGAGAGAGGTAGACATAGGTAATAATTCAGTAGGTAGCCTGTATAGAGTGCCTTCAGTTTGATGAAGCTTTGTCACAGTGGTTGTGAATGCCATCAACTATGAGGAGGTCTTATGGTTGCTACTGTGTAGTACATGTGGGTAGAACCTATAGGTGTACAGTGTGAAGTTTACCTATAACATTTATTCAATTTAATTCAGCAGAAGACTTATAAATGTTTAGTAGACATCTGTTATATAATAGTATCAGATTCTTCAAATTAGCATTTTAATGATCCATTATCTTAATGCACAGGTAGCCAAAGTGCAGCTTGCAGGCCGCATGTGGCCTGACAGTGATTTTTTTCCTCAGTCCTCGAAAATAAATTAAAAACCCCATGTGTGCAGGCCTGGCCCGCTAAATATCTTTGGCTAGAAAACGCCTTGTTATTTACTGTATGGATCAGGATGCAAGAATAAGGATGTTGCTGTTCAGCGCATCAGATACGAGGTTCAGTTCCGATATGAATGGAGCTTAAGTTTTATGTATGTTTTGGATTTGGTACCAAAGAAGTTATACTTCAAATGTCAAATTGTAGAATAACTGAAACCATCATTAGGCCAAATTAAATTAATTTTTAGTCTCGGATTTGAAATTTTTTTTAGTGAGAGTATTTGCTATTTACTATCCTATATAATAGTGATAGACAGGATAGTAAATACTGTAACAACAATTGAATTTTATAAAATATGGTAAATGAACCTTTGTATTCTAGTATTATATGTTTTCACCTCTTCATCAAACAACAAATTGTATTTTTATGTGATAGGTAGGCAAGCCAAAGGAGATAGTACTTGGACTGTTGGAACAAGTTGATCATTTCCTTGACAACATGGTGTACCTGGATTTCATAAACCCTCTGCAAATAGGTAAGAGTTTCAATCTGATTTCAATTAAGTTATGTAAAAGCAAACAGTACATATTTTAGTAACCACTGAAAAACCATTTTATATATCTGAATTTAAAAAAAATTTTACATGACCAGATACAGAATAGTACTTAATATTAAAGCTGATCAATGAAAAGACATATTATCTGTTATGTCTTGAAGTTATGATTTTGCATCTTTGTATTCCTTAGCATTATGCCGTTTGGAAACAGGTCTTGAGCTGAGTCTAGGCCTAGCCTTGTCAACTGTTTATGCTCATGTCCAAACCCTTAAGCTCCCTAGTTACGAATCGCTTGATGAAGAGGAGTTGCTACTTACGACACAAGATCCAGATTACCGACGGTTAGAGGAAACCGTGACAGTGCTGATAGATTTTGTCTCACCATTTGTTTTCAAGGTGGTACAGGCGCAGAAGCAAGATAAAGATAAACTGAACAATAAAACTTTGATTATTAAAAAAGATGTAGAACTATTGTAAGTTAATTTTTTTTTGGCCATGCTTCCTGTTCCGATGATTTTACCATGGAGGTATTATTGAGAAGGAGATCACTCGAAAAAGCTACGCACACGCAGAGCTATGCAAATGAACCAAGAACTGCCGCAGTGCGTGAGGAACTTTTGCGCGATGCCTTTGAAGTCTAATGTGTTCCCCGCCACCAAATGCTCAGCAGGCTTTGATTACCAAAAGATTGAACACGGCGAAATGGAGAGCACGTTCTTTTCTCAATGCGCACTACTTACAGTCAATCACTACGGCTGCGCAATTGTTTCCATCTTGAAGCTAATACATTGATCTTTCAAGAAATACCAAACATAATATTATTTTCTAAAAAAATTTTCGAATTTAATGAAACATTTACATCAGCTTTAAAAGTATGGTATATTGCAACTTCAATTTCCATAAATTGGATAAAACTTGATAATTCCAATTTTAACAGATATTAATTAAGGAATGATAGAGGATTATAATAAACTAAGTCATTTTAGGGTTAACGAGGGTTAACTATTCATAAATTCAATCTAGAATCAGAGTAATTTTCAGTTTTACGCTGCTTTGCTTTATAGTCAAACAAATCGATCTTAGTTTATTATAAAGATATTTAATGGGTTAAAATCAAACGCTTTATCGCACAACTGCTGTGCTGGAGCGTATAAACGCATGTCGTTGCCAAGTTGTTGCTAACGAAAAAAAGTGTGAATTATAGGGTAATACGCCTGCGCGCGATCCAAAGGCGGGGAATACATTGGTTTGTCGCGTCAAAGGGATCTGTTGCCGAGTGATCTCCTTCTCAATAATACCTCCATGATTTTACGCAACTCCCGAAACTTCAGTTTCGCTATCATTATGTAATATGGCATGTTGGAAGTATAACCATTTCCAGATCTACCAAGTCTTGCACTCAGTGTCAGCCTCAGGCATTTGGGATCTGTCTCACGCTTAAGGGCAAAAATCTCGCCCATAAATGTATTGCCTACATTAAAAAATATATGTATACTGTTCTGACGTTTGTAGCTCTACCAATCATGATACAGTACTTCAAATAAGATTAGTTTTGTGAATATCAGTCACTTCGGAACAATATATTAAACTCAGTGCAAACTCACTCAGCCCAGCCCAAGTGTCTGACAGCTTGTCTCAGCACACAATTCAGCCCAACTAATCTTAGACCAACATTAAACTGACCAACCCATTTTTATTCTCAAGGAAGTAAATGCAGAATCTGGTCAGAATTTTGATGTTGAAGGCATGAAGTATAATACGACAGATATAAGATATGATAATAAAAATGGTAGAAGATTGAGTTTTAGAGATATACAGTATACTTCAAGATTGTCAATTGTGATGAAATATTTGACAAAAAATACAGTCATATTTTTTTTCAAGATTATTCAGATAAAATAGACACAAATTATACACACCCCTTTTAAATTTCACTATATGTTAAAAAATAAACATAAAATTAATTATTAAAAAATTAATTGTAGAAAGTTAATTGTAGAAATCAATTAAAAATTAACTGTTTTTCATCTCTCTATTTGCAGCTTGTTGAAGTTGCTTAGCTACCCTCTTGTGTTCTTAAGCCTTGTTGACACAGCAGATGAAAATGATACAGAAAACAAACCTGTAAACAACTCAACATTCTGCACCTGCACTCAGCAAATCATGGTTGGTATTTATTTTATTGTTTGCTGCCCTCTATCAAATCAAATAATTTTCTTTTTTTCAATAATATTGTCTTCGTAGCTTTGCAGCTAAATTGTGAGGATCTGAAGATTGACTCCCTAAAACAGTAGCATCAATTGATATTGCACTAGAAAGTTCAAGAGTGTGTGGAGTTAGAAAAATGATCAGAAGATCAGTATGTCTAGAATTAATATTGATGTTACAATGCCAAAATACCATTCTACGGCGGTATCCAGTACAGAAGAATTTTGTCTATCATTGGTGTTAAAATTAGGCCGAAAAAAGATTGTAGAAAGCCCAAAAATATAAGCATTTTGGAATCAACTCTTTTATGTATCTACAGTATATGCATTATTGATTTATTAGTCACATAATTCTTGTTTTATGGAATAACATGATTGGGTACAATTGCTTTAAGTGTAACAATAATGATTTATATTTTATTCATTCTCCAAACTTTTTTTCAGAATTACTTTGAAGAAATGAGTACTAGCTTTCCTAATATGATATTTTATGCAACAACCCACAAGCCACGAAGACAGGAGCCTGCAACAACGGAAGATAGGGATGCAAGTGATGAGGATGGATGTACCCAGCTCCCTCCGCATGGTCTAGCTTGCTTTGCTTATCTTGTTTTATCTGTTCGGTTGGGGGAAGACCATTTCCCTAGTATCTACAGGTACAAGTTTGCATCTTTATGTAAATCAAAAAATATATGCCTCCGACCATAAAAATTGTCTCGATGACATGCCTGCAACACCAAATGTTATTTTTCCACTATACCGTATAGCCAGTTTATTTATTTATTTTTTTTCCCTTAGTATGTCTCCGTGACATTCCTGATACCCGCCGGTCGTGTGGTCGTGCACTTTTCCCAGCCCTTTAAGTCACTACAAGAAGCTTGGCTTTAAAAAGTGTCGCTGTGTTGTAAATAAAAACTTAATTAAAACTTATGTATTCACAAATCAATATCAACAACACTAAAGCAAGTAAAAAATATACATAAATACTGTACATACAATTACATTTACTCTAATCTTGCAGACTCCCCTTATACTTGTTACTTGTATAGCGCCTTTCTTTTCAGTTACGAGGCGCTGTGAGCGACTCTCCACAATAAGTCTGAAACATCCCCCCGAGTAAAGCTTGCAAAGAACCAAACCCATGTGAGCTAACTTAACTAATGCAATAAAGCAGTACAAAAATAAGAAAAAGATAAGAAAACAATAACGATACAAGTTAAGTTATTAGAAAGTGAGAGTATATCCATTTAACCTTCAAAGAAGCAAAAATTAGGTTATTGACTTTTGTTATGGTAAAGTATATTGACATACTATATAATAACAATAACATATAATAACAATACTTGACATATTTTCTTGTTTATTCATCTTCAAACCCTATCAATATATACCCAAATGATAATTAATATGACTGTATAGGGATTCATTTAGAGAATAAGTATTATAATTAAAATCAAGACAGACAATAAACACTGGATTTACTTGCACCCCTTTGCAAGATAAATAGACTTCAAACATAAAGAGTAATCGTAATTAGCTAAGCGATCAGAAACATTGTTCAATTTTTGCACCACTTGTCTAATGACAACTGACAGCATCAAGTTCGCTAGAACTTTGGCATTGCCAAAAACCAAAATCTGTGTGAAGGAAGGTTACAAACTGCACATTAGCTCCAACCACTTTACTACACTATTGTACACAACCATCTAGTGTCTGCACATTTTAAGTGTAAGCACATACTTTAAATCATTTGTGTTTTCTTTCGTTAGTGGTCAGCACGTTTTTCAAGCATGTGTGCCTTATGTTGTGACATTGTTAGAGCGCCCTCAGGCTTATGCAGTTCAGAAAGGACTGGTTAGTGATCGTTTTACATTTATGCTATGTTTTTTGTAGGATCTTAGCAACAACAGTATCCTAGGAGTTGGACTTAGCAAAAAAGGTCCATTAAGAAATGATAGTCTTAAGTACATCAAAATAACAAAATGGAATAAGATTACTGTACTATATAAAATATATCTGACCAATTTTAGATTATTATATTTTTAACCAATTTTAATAATATAGATTTTTATTTACACCACCAACTGATGATGATACTTTTCTTTTTGAGTTTCACAAATATAGAGTAATTGGACTAATAAAATGAAGATACATAACTTTATCTAATTATAGACCCCTCCAAGACCTCATTGCTGCAGGGCCAAATTGATTTTTATCTTGTATATTTTTAATAATATTTTTTTCTAATTAAATGACAAAAAATAATGCTAAATACAAAAACTTCCAGTCCCAAAAGTAGTCTATAAGGAGCTTTCGATTTGTGTGACGACGTGATGCTAGAACGTTATCACTCATGCGTGACCGTCCTACCTGGCGTGCTACGTTCTCTGCATGTAGATTTGGCCAAATTGCGTTCCAGAATCTACTCTACGAGGTGACCTTAACGTTCTCGCTTGCACAGATGACTTTTAGTGACGTTATTACATTCTATGTCCTACCGTCGTCGTGCAATCGAAAGTTGTTTTTTTTTAATTGGAGGGAGACCTGTATCCTAAGTCTTTTGAATGGTTGTTTCCTATTTGTATCTGCAGGATTTATTGAGTTCAACTGTTGGTGATATTGATCACTTATCACTGCCTAGCATGTGGCTAGGTAAGAAAGGCTTCACTGATGTTGCAGACAATCTATTAAAAATTATGATACACTGTCCAACAGAAAAACTAGTAAGTGTGTTTTGATTGGATTTGTTACGATGATAAACTGATCATGTGCTGCGATGATTAACTGGAAGGTGTATTCTCATTGGCTGTGTTGTGATGATTGACTTCTAAACTGTAGTCAGATTGGTTGTTTTATGATGACAGACTTGTTTAAATGTATTCTGATTACCTGTGTTGAAGTGAAAATTGGCTGAGACTTGGGACCACGTAAGTCCTGTGGTGTTGGGTTCACAGGCTGTCACCCTGTGTACCTATGTGATGGTTCAGCATGTTATTTAATGGATTTCGTGCTCTTAAAAAGTTTCTATCCAAAGGACGTGATTGCTTTCAAGTTTGAGAAGACAGAATCAGCAAAGAAAACTTTCTGTTATATTCACTTATAGTTGCTACTATATAACTTGTACTTGGTAATTTAAAAGCCCCCGGTATGAACTGGTTCACAAACTTTGTGATGTGAGCAATGTTACACAAATCAGCCTTATTATCCATATTGACAAATATTTTTGCTATTATTGCATTAGTCAAATATTTAATATAATTTTAGTAATTAACTTTTACAGAGAAAGAAAGCTGTTTCGTTACTTAAACCATTTATGATGCAGTGGGAGTTCAAAGGTCGCTACCAGTTGCTTAGAAAACTATTGAGTGAAGCGACCCATGCTGGGGTTGAAGGCTTTCTCATTGGAATTCTCAAAGATTTTGTTCACGAGACTTTACTACAAGTAGGAAAACAAAGTTAATTTATATCTCATATCCTTACTGTTTACGTTAATATCATTTTTTTTTTTTAATTTCATTTCTAAATTTCAAAGAATTATGTCAAGTGTTTGAAATTGGCATGTACATGGAGTATAATTATATTTTGTTTCTTTATGCTGTTCTGTGAAAATTGTCTGTACTGATATATGTGAAAAAGTAAAGAATTATTAATATCAATTGTCTACCTGTTTCAGGGTTCACCGAGTAATACATGGTTTGTAGATCAGCATCTTGTTGATATCTGCCAGTATGTTTTTGACCTTCCAGACGGTGCAGAATCTGATATATTAGAACGATCAGACAAGTAAGACAACTTGATAAAATCTTTATAGCACCCTCATTTAACTTAGTGAAAATGGTGTCAAATATTTTTAAGATGATTTTTATAGAAAGATTCATTTTGATATCTTATAACCTATGGTATTCATTTCAAGGACTAAACTAATATGCAAAGTAATACAAATTACAAGACTTTATGATGTTCAATCTTGTAATTTTTTTTCTCATAATTATCATAGTATTTTATTGTTTCAGGTCAGTGCCCCTTACCCAATTTTGCCCTACCCATTAAATCCGCTTCATAACTTGTCAATTCCAGTACACTTTTTTTGTCTTTCTTACTAACCATTCATCAACTTGTCCCTACAGTACTTAATAAACCATTTCAACATTCCCAATATTGTTTTTACCCATTAAATTTCTACCACTTCTTTTCATACATTAACATCTTCTGGTTCGTAGCTGTTTTACTGACTAAGACTTTTACATATAGGAAAATTTTCATTTACATTGTGTATTCGATCAATCCATTATTCTTTTGATATTAATTTTTCATGCTAATTAACCTCTCTGGTAACTTCAAAATGTCAAATACAATTGTTGTATTGTTTTTGGAGTGACCATTTTTTTTATTTGTGTTTAAACTCAGTGCACATCCCAATGGTTTAATTTTTGTTTGCTCTCTTATTAATCTGCAGGATAATATCAGCTTTAAATTTTCTACGTTACTTGCTGTTAAGAGATAAATTCGAAGTAAATGCCACAGGAGTATGGACACATGTTGATGAACTAGACGAGAGGTTTCTACAACCACTTCACAGTGGCTTAGATCTGTCAAAAGCACACTATGACTTAAAATTAAAAGAGGTGCAGAAAACAGGACAGACTAAAGGTAGTGACATTTGACCCTTTTTATTTATATTGCGAACTGTGTAGATTATTTGTTTAAATGCAGATTTGACTCTGTTTATCTGTAATTTCCATTATATGCACTAAATGAGTTTCTACCTCATGTTTTTTTTATATTATTATAATAATTACATATATGTACATATAATTCAATCCAATTATTTAATTTTAGTAAAATGTTTACAATTTTGCAGTTGCTAGATGCTAATACTGAATACATTAATCCATTGTTTATAAAACATGAATATGCAGTTTTTATATTAAATAATTTTGAGTGATGGATTCCTTTGCTTTTTTTGTCTTATCTAATATTTGTTTTTTATTTTGTTTATTTTTCTCATAATGCTTAACTGTTACTTTCCTTAATATTTTCAGATGACAGGGTTAGTGTTACTGTTGGCGGTCAAAATCTTCCCACAATGCCAATTGCCCAGCAAAAAGAGGTATGCTATAAACTTATTCTTGTCTTGTTTTTTATATGTATAATGGTAAACATAATCAGACTTCTTCTAAATGTCAATGATTTTCTTTCAGGTTTTGAGGTCAGCACAGTTCACCTTTGACTTAATAGCAAGCTTGTTAGGTCGTGCAGGAGAAGTCATTTCCATGGAGAAAAGAACACAAAAGTATTCTAAATCCTGGTAAAATATTAACATTTTATCACATTCATAAAATTTATTTTTCCACACTCCTAATGGTTGACAGTTGAAGATACTACAGTTTTATATTGTACAGTCAATAACTTCAAACAAGCCATAGTTTTCAAGGAATAGCAAATAAGGGAAATTATTTAACCTTGATTTCTACTTTGCAAGAAAATGTTCATAAATATTTTACATTGTAAATTTGGCACTGTCAAGTTATTTCCATCTATCATATTTTATTTATTTATTATTTTTGCATTGTATAAGTGCTATGGTCATAATCATTATTATTTCAAATAATAATTTAATTTACCATAATCAAATATTACAGACTGTAGGAATTTTTCTTTTTCCTCTAATTCCTTCAACTATGTTTTTAACTCCCTCACAGAAAATGCAACAATAGTGAATAAAATCCCACTTGCTGAGGAAAAAGCAGAAATAGAGATCAAGATAATGGAGGGCCAGCCAAGTGAATGTTCATCAGTGTGACCAAAATGTTTCACCTGCCAGTGACAGTGACAAAAGATATGGATTGTCATCTCTTTGCAGGTAAAACCAACATACACTCCACACTGGATGACAGAAGCAACCTTTCAGATGAATGTAGCAGGATGTGGAGAGTATAAAACACTAACAGTGGATTTCATACCAGTTATTGTAATAGAATGTTAAAATTCCCTCTCTAGCTTTTTATCGTAAGGTTAGGTCACATAACTTTGGCAGCAGATTCACTTTAATAAATTTAAATGAATGAAAAGACTAAACTATTAAATTCTGGCTAGCTTTAGCTAATTCGTTTTCATATGACAATAACAATATTGGTACTCAAGAATGCTATAATAAAGCCTGAAAAAAAATGTTTGTTTGCCCACATTGCTTCCCCTAAAATTTGTGAAATTACAATTTAAAAAAGCCAACAAATCACTTGTTTATAGAATAACATCTAAAAACAAAATCAGAATCAGGAATTGTTTTTGCTGTTTTTGGTTGTTTTTTTTTCTGAATGGTTTTTATGATTGCATATTCAAACTGGTAGTTTATAGCATACCTCTCTTGAATAGACTGAATTGTCGTCAGTGTGTTTGGTTGTTGGGTTGGCCTGTTATAATCAAACTGGTATAGAGGGCAGTGTTTTACAGACATACACACAGCAGCTCTATCAGTAACAATATTAAAAAACATTGATTCAAGGTTGCTGATGGAAAAACAGCAAAACTTGTCATCCTAGTGCATTTATACTTTTTTTTCTCTTGTGGGGTCGTCCCACTTTTATTTGTTCCTTCATTACCTCCAGATTCAATAATTCACATTTCCATCATAAAGCTTGTCTTACCAACAGCATATATAAATATTTTGTTGTTATAAACATTTCGATATATCTTAACTATTCTTTTTTTAATTTCCTTAACATCCAACAGCAAGTACACTCGCTACTTACAGGGTGAAACTGTGATTTATAAACCAAGTCTGGTATTGAGGCCTAGGGAGTGATGTTAAGTTCATTTATACTTAAGTGAACTTTTTAAATTTAAGATAATGACTTACCTGCACTATAATCATGATTGTATATGCTGTAGGAGGATTGCACCTTCTGCTTTGCTACCTTTCTTTAGTTAAGATACTTCAGCAGGATGCTTAGACCCAGAAGAGCTCTTCTGGGGCCAGCTTTTCAGGGTTTTTTTTACCACCTTGCTTGTCAGCTAAGCCAGTTTATCTTCCTCCTCTACAATCTCTTACCATTTATCCACATGGATGGTGGAGCATCCTTTAAAATACCCGCTTTCAAAAAACTGTTAGCCTGCCTTTGCCAATACACCTATCATCTTATATTAGAAGATGGAATACACGGTACTAGTTAAAATTTTTCCTGGTCAAATAGTTTTACCGAAAACTAGTCTGTAAAACTAAACAATTAGATTTTTAGGCCTGCATGACTAGGCTTTCAATGAAAATTCATTAGTTTATTGAGGTATTCACGTTTTCACCTGCTGTCTTCTCTAGATGGACAAGTATCATGCTGGGGTCGTCGTCTGCTGATGCGATCATGGAGGTATAAAAAAGGAGATATATCCAAACTAATCCCTTTGATCTATCAACGGAGCCACCCTATGTTTATCTTGTTTTAAAAAGTGATTAATTTCTGGTATCGCACACAGATTGGAAGCTTGCGAGGTCAAAGTGTATTACGTAAAAGGCTGGCCGGCTTGGGTCTCTCGATCCGATTCCGATCCCATCCCATCATCCTGTTGTACTCAAGCGCGCTAGATATACATGTTCGTCACGGTCATGGAGACTTTAGATTGAAGAATTTGAAGTCGAAATTGAACAAATTGTTGAGGAAATAAAATCAGAGGGTGGAGGAGATGTGTGTCTCTGCATATGCGATTGTCCTTTAACAGAAGACATGATCGCCTGTAGTAATGGCAGTCAGTGTCCAGTCGGGTGGTTCCACATGAAATGTGTAGGCCTAAACCTTTCTACGAGCAAAACTGGTTGGACGTGTGGTAACTGCTCTCCTGCCGTCAGTGCTACTGAGCCTGCAGCTACAAAGACGGGCACTAAAACAAGTAAGTGTGTAGGCCTACATTATATATTATTCACGTAGAACAAGTCTTCTCAGATAAGGACTATAAACCGTAGACCCAGTGTATACAAAGGCTCATGTGCACTATAAAGAACCCAGTACATCCTTCGAGACGAGTAGGGGGACACCCCGGTGTACTGGAACACACAGCCCCTGTGGTGGACGACGAGAGTTGCTGGTACCGGGTTACCGGGTAGCACAGACAGGAAGGGACCCTTAGGGACGAAGAAAGTCATTGATCAGGTTCCTAGTCCACATTTCAAGTGCCCTGAGCATCTTACATTCGATTTGTGCGCTATATAAAACTACACTATTATTATAATAAATAAAAGGCAAGGCAGTTAAAAGGCAAAATTTGACTTCCTGCTGTTACTAGTAATTGATCCTGTGACAGTTTTTGAACCCGCGACCACTGCTGCACCATTGGGTTTTCGTTTCTCCCTCCACACGCACGTTGCTTGCTGAAGTATTCCTCAAGAAGATCCTGATTAAGCTTCTCCCTCAAAATACACTCTCAACACCATCGATTGACAATATCTCTTTCGTCAGCCTTACAAATGAGTTGACTGTGAATAATAATAATAATACAGTTATTATGGTACACAATACTATTTCCATGACAATAACAGCAAAGGCATCAACAGTAATGACATAATGACAACTGTTATGAGGGTGAGGTTAGGTTAATTAGTACATTTGGTGTACTCATCGTAACATTTTAAAAAAATCTTGTACGGTTTATACCTTGAGCAAATCCCAGCGGACCCAATGTTCTTTTTTTTTTTTAGAGCATTACCAACCTGTTATTCTTAGTCCTTCAAGAGTTTCAACACTGAGACACATCTTCTTTTCCGTTTTTGTCATGTTTGGTGTTTCATGACACTGCCTTCCCATTCACTTAAGAATCCAAGAAAGTCTTCCATAAGCCACTATGAGAGAAATATACAGAGTACTGTAAGATCCTTAGATATCTACATGCTGAAAGTCTGAAGTATGAGTTGGCTCTGATCGATCAGTTCAACCAACACGCACATAAGGCGGAAAAAAAAAAATGCGTTGGCCACGATTTTTTCAGCAGCATCATATATAAAACTTGCATTTAAAGATTACAAAATTAATATAAAATATCAAATCAATAACATATTCTTATAAAGGACCTGGAATAAATACATAGCTACAGTATGGATAACCCATGCAATTTCACCAGAAAAAAAAAAGAAACCCAGAGACCATCAGTACAAAATATTTGATTGCTGTTACATCACGGTTACAAAATGATGGTTGGTTTTGTACTGAGGTTGTTTGTTACAGGTCCCGGCCAACATTTCCAATTGCATATTTTCAGGCGACAAAAAAAAAATCAAAAAAAAAAAAAAAACATTTATACAATTAAAAAAAAAAATTAACTAAA